CCTTGTTCTACTCAAACTACATATTCATATGAACACAATTAAGTGTTCTAGGATCTCCATTCTTCTCAACGTTACACATAGTTTATGGTCAACACAGTTGACTATCTGCACAGTCAGTAAGGCAAAGGTAAATATGTCTCTGGTGGTCTGCTTCCAGCCCAGATTTCTCAGACATTAGCAATGAGTGACCTTGTTCTAGAGCCTCTTATGAATCCAGCTTGAATTTCTGGTATTTTCTTCAGCAAAATATTTGTTTTGTGTAATACTAAGGCTATAGTTTGAGAACTCCCACATGTCTTTGTATTATTGCCTTCCTTCTGAATGGGAATAAATATGGCTCTTTCAGTTGGTTGACCAGGTAACTGTCTTCCAAATTTATGGGTAGAGATGAATGAATGCTTCCTTCATTACATCTGTTTGTTCAAACATCTCTAGTGGTAATATATCAATTCCTGGAACCTCGTCTGCCAGTTCCTTTAGTCAATTGGATGATAGTCAAGGACTGGTTACGTTACAAGGCATGCAACTCTGGGAAAAGAGAGGAATCCTCAGTGACACACATGCCATTCGGTTAGTCGCAGAGCCTACTATCTGTTTCCCAAGGGGTCATCCCAAGAGTTAAGACCTAAAATACATACCCCAGCAGATGGCCTAGTCCACCATTGAGTCGGTCGCAGTTCAAAGGACCGCCTGAAGGGGGCTGGGGCCCCAGTTAGGCACGAACATGTGCTCTTGCATTTGCCAGGAGCACGGGCACCAGGGGATACCATCAGTTCTCAATGACTAAATGTCTAAATGCCTGAAATGATTGGATGTTAACCAATTGTGACTGTATTCCTTTTATCCTATTTTGATGTTCCTGGGGCCATTGAATATTTTCCCCGTAGAATTCTCTAACACTGCTACTTAAGGCTTGAATTCTTTCTCTAGCTCTTTCAGTTTGAGAAATGCCAAGTCTGTTCTTCTCTTTTGGTTGTCTAACTATTTACACATTTCTGGAAATTGCACTTCATGTCTTCTGCACATCTTAGCGATCTACTTCTAATTCAACAATAAACAATTATCATTTTAAAGTGCTTCTGAATGACATACCTCTATAGCTATGTGGTTACTTTATACCAAGGCAAGGGTTATGTTAAGTCTAAATATTTGCTTCTTTATTTGTCTATCATTTATATCTGCCTAGCCACAAAAATATTTGAAGCAGCTTAAAAAATGTAAATGCACAAAAATAAAGCTGAGAAAGAGCTAAGAATTTCCCACAAATTGGGAAAAATGTAAGGAAATGTAAAATAAGGGAAGTGAAGTCTTTTCAAGAAATTTAGGAAGCTGTTTTTTAAAAAGTTGTCGTTGTTTGTTGTTGTGCACCATCAAGTCAGAATTAACCCATATCTGACCCTCCAGCGTATTTTCAGAAGCAGTTTAAAAGCTCAGGAAGAGACTGCTCATTTAAAAAAAGGTATACCTTTAAATTAGCCCTAAGATTCCTGGCAGTGTTTAAATAAACAAGAAATCATTTTCCTTAATGTTTTTCTTAATGTTTTTCACCAAAGACTGAAAACACGAATTTACAAATATGAGCTCTGATAGCCTAGTGGTGAGAAATTGCACTACAATTCCAAAGGCACGCAGTTCAAATCCACCAGAAGCTGCACAGGAGAAGGATGGGCAATCTCTTCCCGTGAGATTAAACTACCTCTGAAAACCTATTGGACGACCAGCTATGGGTCAGTTCTGACTCACTGGTACACAACAACTACTCCAAATAAAGAGCTTTCAGGTTGGATTTTTTTGTTTGTTTGTTTTAGTAGACTTAATAAGAAATGAAGTATACTGCATGCTCCAACTTTTTGTTTGTCACTGGCTTCACTCTTTTTCTCAAAGAGTACATCTTCCCTTAAGTATTCTATCTTGCTACCTTGTCTGTGTCCATTTCCTTCGTAAAATTTCAAGAAGGTTTCAATCATGACACTACGGGCTAGGATGGCAGAGGCAGTGAGAATCCTCAGTTATATTATCAGCCCAGTCATATCAGGCAACTACATATCAACAACTACAGCTGTTGGGACTGGAGAGCATTATGCTGAGTGAACTCACTCAGTCCCACAAGGATATATATTTTATAAAAACCGTTATTGTAGAATGAGTCTAAGGATCCAGGAGGAGTGGGAGAGGCTGGAAGCAGAGGGATGTGAATATACAGGAGGCTGGGGGGGATTAATCATTGGATTGTACAATTTGATAGGTAAGGGAAATGGAAAGAATTTGTTTGAATTTGTATTAGAATTTTGAAAATAAACTCATGAAAAGGAAAAAAAACAAAAAACAACCCCAAACAAAAACAACTACAGTTGTTGGTCCTCTGAAGCCAGTGTTATAATTCTCCATCTGGGAGATCAAGTCTGATGACTCCTGAATGTAACCCGTGCTCAGCTACCACCTTGCTGATAGGAGGTGATCGAGGTGGTTATGATGCTGATCCGGTTCCACAGAAGCTACCAGACTAAGTACTACTTGGAAGAAAGGCCTGAAAATGCACCACTTCACACTTTTTATCATCACAGCCATAAAGTTTCCTAACGCGGAGTCTGACCATCATTTGCCTCCACTCAAAACCTTTCTTGGCCACCCACTTTACATCGTTCTGCCATTCACATCTCTGATTTTCACCTCAAGCCTCTCCCTTCTTGCTGTGTACCCGAGGAGGAGACATGAAGCCCTCTAGCTGAACTAAATCACTTGTTATTGTTTAGGAATACTGTGTTCTCACATCTCGCTTTTACCACCCAATTGCCTCTCCCAAGGCAAGTAAATGAAGATAATAATAACTGACCATGATTTCTACATATTAGCGACATTCTTTCCAAATAGTTTATAATTTACACTTGCCCCCAAAAATCTACCAAGTCACACTCAGAAGAATTCAAATTAAGAAGGCATGCTTCTACTTGTAGCCAAGGTCCATCACTATCACTCCCCCTTTACTACAGAGAAAATTTATTCTCTAGCTGCTGAGATAGGATTCCTTTGCAGCTGCCAAGGCACACGAGGCCAACTGGCAGGATTAGGCCAAGGAAAAAACATGCCACGTGGAACTCATACACAACTGAAACAAATGAAACCTAATTTGCTGACCTGTCTTGTTTATTTTGGTTCATTCAGCAGCGTAGTATTGTAGAAACAACCTGGATCTGAGTCCCACTCCTGCCATGACCAACAATATAACTTACAGAAAATCCCACAACTTTTCAGGTCGTCCATTTTTTTCATTGATGACATGGAAACCTGCCATGATTTACTTTAACAGCGTCCCACTCCCCACCCCCCATCCCCATGGGATTACTCTTTTCTTTACCTTTCTCTGTAGTACGGTCCTTTTTAAAAAATCTGTTTGCTTGACAATTCTTTGTGAGACCCAAAGCTGCTGCAAATTCTACAGTTCCATTTCAAAGCTACTGAGAGTCCAGAAGGAACACCTGGGACACAGTAGATTAAACACTGGGCTGTTAACCAGCAGATAGGCAGTTCAAATCCACCAACTGCTCCTTGGGAGAAAGATGAAGCTGTTTGCTTCCGTAAAGATTGACAGTCTTTGAAACCCTCGGGGGGGGGGGGGGCAAGGGGAGGGCATTCTGCTCTGTTGCTCTAAGTAGCAATTGACCGGATGGCAATGGCCTTTTGTGGAGAGTTCTTGAAGAGGACGCAAACACCAAACATCACAAACAATTTTGTCCAACTGCACTGCAGGGAGCTCTGGCGTGGCCCAGGAGCTGTGATTGTACCCACAGGCGCAGTCTCAGGTGGTGTGAATCCACTGGGAACTGCTCAGGAGAAAGGTGTGAGGGCTCCTCCTGGAAGATTACAGCCTTAGCAAACTGAGGGAGGGGCAGCTACAAGTCAGAACCAACTTGAGGGCAGGGAGCTTGAGGTATTTTAGATGTGTGTTTTGGTTTTTAATTTTTTTTTAATATGCTGTTTTGGGGACATTAAATTATACCAGTTCTAAGGCCACTTTAAAAATGGTAAGATTCTATATTCAAACTTACATCTGACGTTCTTGTATATCTTGAATTAAACAGAGTTAGTACATTTTTTTTTCACTTTCACTTTCAGCAAGCGTTTGGAGAAGCCACAATTTCTGTTTCATAATTGAGAATTCTTGAAGGCCAACACACACATATCATGTTGCTTGATCTCTAACATCTCCTGTAAATAATTACTTTGGCATTCTTTTTTAATATATTACTATAAAGTTTTAAGTAAACAGCAAATTTGCAACATGCTACTGAGACACTTTTATTCTTACATTATTAGTGATGTTACATTCTGAGATAATACTTCTAGAACTTTTTTTAAAGAGAAACAAAGGTTTTTCAAAATGCCTTTTTTATAAAATAGAAGAGTGTATAGCTAGATCTAACACACAAAAGGAGTTCTGGTGGCACAAAGATTAAGGGCGTGGCTGCTAACTGAAAGATCAGTGGTTTAAAGTCACCAGCCGCTGGAGTAACAATGAGGCAGTCTTCTTGTACTAAATGTACAGATTTTTGAAATCCTGTGGGCAGTGCTGTCCAGTGTGTTTCTGTGAGTAAAAACTGACTCAATGCGAATGCATATAACGCTCAAGGAAATTCAACAACGGCTTACTTTAAAACTAGTTTGGTTATACAAATGCTTCCAGAAGAAAAGAGAAAGAGGAAAGAAAAAGGTCAATGGTGACAAAATGAGATAATATCACAGTGTAAAAGTAACATAATAGTTTTTTTATTTTCTATATTCAAGTGCCTCTCAAGAAAATAAAGGAAAATGAAACAAAAATTAGTCCATTCTTCCTTATCACAACATCAAAGCTTTTTTTCTGGTTATGAAAATTATATGTCAATGTTAAAATTCATCACCAATTATCTCTAAACTCTAAAAAGAGTAAAAGTGAACAACAGAGACTTGACAAAAGTTAACGACACAAAGTCAGTGAAACAAGCCCAGAGGTCAGCACTTACCTGGCACAACCCGCTGATGCACATATCCAGAGACTCCGTGTAGCAGCGGGTGCCGTCCAAAACTTTCGGTGCCAGTTCCACCACCAAGGTGGTTCCCTTGGCCTGGCACTTGAGGGAGCAAGGGTTGTCGGGATCATTGGACACAGGAAGCCATTCGTAAAACTGGCCATGGTGCTTGACATCATTGTGAGCTGAGCATTGCTGAGCTCGGAAATCACCTGCTTCTGGGGGACAGTCCTGTAGGAGAAATGAGAGAGGGACAGGTACAGGTTAAGGAAGGAGTCCACTCCAGAAGACAGGGACAGCTGTGCCACTTGTCAAGGTCATAGAAAACAAAACAAGTGTTCAGGTCACAGCATGTGGACACTCTCAGGTCAGCTGGGAGATGACATGATTATTTGGTTCTTAAATTGTAGAGATTTGAGAAGGCGATTATCTTGATCATCTTGAAAGAAATCTTTTGCATGGTATTCACCGATGGAATACATTTTTTTTGATGATGCTGTTTGGTGCACTGTCTCCTTCAGATTTGAATATTCATTTGATTTCCCTGAAACTTGGAATCTAGTAAGGCCAACATATTAGCCAAATGCTTCTTCTGCATCCCCTCTCAGATGTGATAATTGAGAGCTACCACAATTTTCTCTCCCTCTTTAGGACTAGCAGCAAGAACTTGCATGAAATTTTTATAAGACTGGGGAGGAGGGTGTTACTCATGAGGCTTTTGAAAATAAAATATATATGCAAACATGCTTGGAAGGATGGAGGGCCAGCATAGGAGAGGAAGACCTTGTGTGAGATGGATTGATAGAGTAACTACGGCAACGGGAGTAGGTGGGTTGGAGTGAGACTGGCTCAGGACAGGTCAGGCCTCAGAGCTGTTGTACATAGGGTTGCTATGAGTCACAACACATAGCAACAACAAGAACAACCACCTAAAATTAAGCATGGAGAACAACAAAGATAAAGCTTCATTTTTATCTGAATAGGTTCAGTTTATGGTAGCATGGCAGAGAGGAAAGCTTAGACACTTCCTTCTTAGATGTGACTGTATGATGGTGGGTCTCTTAGTCCAAGTTTTCAAATGTTTAGAAAACAACTGTTAGAGGTATAACAAAATATTCATTCAGCCCTCAAGTTACTGTGAGAATTTCATGAGCTTATATGGACCAAATACTGGCATCAGAATGACACGTAATATTTGGTAGTTGTTACTGTAATTATTTAATGAGACCACGGAAGAGAAGGGCTTAGAGAAATTAGGAGAGTTTTCTGAATTTGAATTTCAAATCATATTGGCAGAGACCAGTGGAAAACAAGAAAGCTTTAAATGTGTATTTAATAAAGGGCAATTTTAAAATATAGACCTATGACTAACAATGTCTATTATCTAATAAATGATAAGCCTCAGTGAAAGCAAATAAGATTTAACTTAAAAGTAAATACCGTCTATCTCTGGAAAGAGTTTTTCCATAGGTTTATTTTAATCTATGCAATTTCAAAATAGTGTTTGTTATGGAAGACTGTAGCGTATCTGGCTGTGAAAAGACGTCAACATTTTCGGTTTTAAAGAAGAGGCTTGCATGCGGTCTTCCCAGCCCTTGGTTATTACATTATCATTTTCAGAGTTCTGAGACCACATTTCTTTCTTGGAAAAATGTCTTTACACTTAAATAACATTCTGAGGACAGCTTGCTCTTGGTTTTGTAAAATGTATTTTCCAATTCTTTTTCAAAAATTTATGGGCCTCCTCCTTTTTTTAAACCATTAAATAGCTATTCCCTCACTCATTCACTCACAGTCATGCAGTCAAAATCTACTCATAGCTGTCCCTCCACTGTACATTGCTTGGGAGATCACTCAGCTATCTTTCAAGGAGCCCCTGGTGGATTAGAACCTCCAACTCAGTGGGGCCTCTGGGCTAGCAGCACAACTCTCATGGTCTATACCAGCAGAGCTCCCTAAGCAGCATAAAAGGCTGGTCTCATATCTGAGTGCACGTACATCCCTCCCAGAAAAGAGGAGCATAATCAAATAGTCAATAAAGATGACCCATAAGAAAATAACGCAGAATCCAGAGATATTTGTCCTCAGAGACATTTGTTATATGTTCTCACAGAGAATAAAACATTATGTTAAATGAAAATTCTTATATATGTAGGCAGCCAATATAGAAAGTGGAAAAGAGGAAGGTTCTCAAGGGCATGGACTGACATGATGGTGGGAACGACGGACAGAAACATAGCAAAGGTTGTACGGATGACTGGGCCATGGACACTTTCATTCTGCTCTAAATACAGTTGAGTAGGAACAAGTCTGGTAGTGCATAACAGCAACAATAAGGGCTAAAGGACCTAACAGGGCTAAACTGATTTTAAATGTTGTCTAAAAAGATGTAATTGAAATGGATTACTTTTTCACGTCAGTCTATCTGGTTGAGGGTCTTCCTCTCTGTCATTCATCCACCATCTTTCCCAGCTGGGTAGTTACAGAACAGGAAATGGGTCAGCTCTGTTGTCCAGAGCTGCTGTTATAGGTTGTATTTGACTTGATGGCACCTAACAACAACTTTATAAATGATATGTCAAAATTTAAAAATTTTAAAGATACATAAAAAATGTTACATGTATACACACATTCTCAAAATGTTTTAGCTACTTGTAGAGATCAGCTGTATTGTATATATTATTTTAAAGAGAATTAAGCATGATGACCTAGCACTTATTAAAAGGGAGCTCTGATGGCCTAGTTGATAGGTAACTCTGATGCCAACCTAAAGGTGAGTGGTTCAAATCCACCAGCTGCTCCACAGAAGAAAGATAGGCAATCTTCTCCCATGCAAGTTTTTTTCCTCTCATGCAATTTTTAGCCTCTGAAAACCAGCTGTTGTTGACTGCGTTCTAGTCGAGCATGACTCATAGTGACCCTATGAACAAAAGGCCTGAAGCCTTTCTTTATCATCATTTATCAAAGTTCACAGAGTTTCCTGAGGCATGTTGTTTCGGAAGTTGATGCCACTCCTGCTTCGAAGCCTGTCTTTAAACTGGGAATTCCACCAAACACTGTCCACCATGGGTAACCATTATGATATTTGGCACCCCAGAGGCACAAGGTTCAGCATAAAAGCAACTTCAGAACAGCATATTGACAGAAGAGTGCTTTACCACGTAAAAGAATGTTCCTCCAAAATATAATAACAACCGACTTTAAATACCAAGTCTCTCCCCAAGGTCTTGTTGACTCTAAACAATAGGCTTAAAGAGAAAACAATCAATATAGTATGCTGTTGTTGTTATGTGCCGTTGAGGCATCTGTGGTGTGTAGCGACCTTATGTACAGCAGCTCTGAACCCTTCCCTATCCTGAGACAATCTCAGCTGTTGCTGGTTTCTTTTGAGTTAAGCACAACTCATAGTGACCCTACGAACAAAAGGCCTGAAGCCCCTCTACAACTATGAACATTGATCAAAGTTCATAGAGTTTCTGGAGGCATGTTGCTTAGGAAGTGGACGCCACTCTTGCTCCCAATCTCAGCTAGAGGAGGCTTATTAGGTTTCAAGAAACTGTTAAACTATTGGGTTTTATAATGTATCCACTGTCTATCAATTTGCCATACTGTGGGGGCAGGGAGGTTTGCTGTTGGAAGCTATACTGCCATTATCTCAAGTACCAGAGTAGGAATCAACAGACTAGGAAGAAATGCCTGATGATCCACTTCTTAAACCCTACAGATCACATGACAGAACACTGTCCAGCATAGTGCTAGAAAAGGAGCCCTCAGGTTGGAGGGCGTTCTTAACACACCTGCGGACAAGTTGCCTCCTTAGAATAGAGTCAACACAGATGAAGTAAGGAGTCTTTCCAGGAGATGGATTCACACGCTCTAGCTACAATCATGAGCTATGACACAACAACAATTGGGAGGATGGTATAGGTCTGGGCCATATTTTGATTTGTTAGAATCAACTCTATGGCACCTAACAACCAAAATTACAATGACTCAGGAGAAAGAGCAAGAAACAAAACTAATTTTACAATGCTTCTTCTCAAGTGACTTGAGTTAGAGACACTAAGCAAGAAACAATGTATCAGTTGTCCAGCACTTATAGTATCACAAAGGGTTGGGGACAAGGTAAGGGCAACAAAGCATTATGACACATGAATTTATATGAGATACTCTATCAGTGTGTTATGAGAATTAGATTAACTACTATAACCTGCAAAATGATGCTATGCATTATAACAAAGGCAGAGTAGATCAAACCATGACATGATACAAACTAACCTCAGATATCCCCACACTAGCTCCTTGAAACTTTTCTATTCCGATATCAAAGCACAGAGGACTGATTTAATATTTACTCCTTATGGATTTATGTTCTAAAGACAAGATGAGCAATTGCTTTGCTTGCAAATTCTACCAATCTCTTTCTAGACCTCACTTACTAACTCCTGCTCTAAAACAAACCCGTGGCTGACTGTGTTCCACTAAACCCCATTACTCTTCTGCATACTTATTCCTTTTAGAGGCATTTCTGAGACTCAGACAACGTGCCGTCTCCTTTCATTAGTGCTTTTCATAACCCTAGCTTTGTACAATTCAGTAGGGAAAACTGGGTAAGATCATCTATAGTTGAAATGATAATTAGATAATATTTAAATAAAATTTCTTCATTTACATAGTATCTGTCATCCCAGGAATCATTTTTCTACTCTAGTAAAAAAGAAAGTTGAAGTAGACTCAATAAAGCACATCACTGAGGTAATTAAAATAACCCCCACCTCTCTTTCATAATTACCCTTGACTCCTTTATAAGTAATAACATAGAACCAGCTAGAAAAGGAATGCAGGGTCAAAATAATCACCCTGTATTCAAGCAACGAGTGTAAGATGTAGTTAGGAGACATCTTAGCAGGAACTCAAGAAAATCTTCTGCATTTATTCAATTTTAAGAAAAGTATGTAAATAGTGATATTTACATTATAAGCATCATTTATTATTTCAAAATTAATGATACTTCATGAGCTCAGTACAGACATAAAACTCTTACAGACTCTATTAGGGGTCCCTTTGCCTAAAACTGTGTTGATTATTCCTATCTTTCTTAAAGTAATGAAGAATTTGGAGTAAAGGGAAAAATTAGTTAAAAAATAAGCAAAATGCTAATACTTTTGGTTTTTTGCTCGTGTTAACAAAAAACAGTGAACTGATTTGGAAACACCAGAGAGAACAAACAC